ATCTCAATTCAATATACTTACTAAAACCATCTGGGAAAGAAAATTGGTTGTATTCATGTTTCTTTATGAAAAGAGCTCGATGAGCTCTTATAAATTGATCTCTAGACAATACATGCCCAAAACATTTTACATACATGTTTCCAAGAAACAAAGACAATACATGCTATAAATATAACATCATGGTTACAAGAAGAGTGAAATTCTTAAGAAAATTTATTCCCTATCCCGAACTAAGTTATTGACCATATTTACCAAAGGAAGAGTGCCCTTAGCCATGATTTCTAACCTAGAAGTATTTGAAGCATGCGAGAACAATGAAAGCCCAAAAAACAAAAGTTCAGGAAGAAACAATCTCGACGACAAAAACCCATGCCAATACCGAGGTTCCAAATCAAAAAACGCATCAAAAAACCTTCTAGTCCCTTCTAAATCAAGCTTAAGCAAGATATCCATACCAAAGCAGAAGAACTCCCTCTGTCTCCTCCTCTCAATCGGCCATAAATCCTTCCAAACCTCGGTTGAAAGCTCATCACCCGCGTGCCCATGCTCTGAACCAAGGTACCTAACAATTGATTTTGCAACAATTGGAGCAGCTGCGAGAGTTCTTGCTACCATATAACCAGTTGAAGGATGAACCATTCCAGCAGTTCCCCCAATTCCAACGACTCTTTGTGGAATCACAGGTAAAGGACCTCCCATTGGAATCACACACCTCTCATCCTCTTCAATACTCTTTATTTTGATGCCCAAATGCTCTAATCGAGCCACCATTCTCTCTTGTATATCCTCCATCTTCAAACCAGGACGAGCGACCAACGAGGTCTCCTCCAAAAATATCCTATTTGATGAAAATGGCATTGCATATAGAAAAGTGGGTATTTTCCCATTTCTCTCCTTCATTTCTGCTTTCGAATTGAGATGCGAATCTCTCCAGTCCATAAACACCATCTTATCGACATCAAATGGGTGTTCTTCAACTTCGGCTAAAATCCCATAAGCCACTTGATATCCAGGGTTATAAGGCTTATCATACTGAACCAAACATCTCGAGAATCCAGTGGCATCAAGAACAACACCAGCTTCAATAGTGACTCCATCGTTGCAAATCAATAGTGACTTGTTCTCCTCGTGGATGACCTTCACAACTTTAGCTTGATGGAATCTAACACCATTATTGACACATTTCTTCATCATCTTAGACTTGAGATTCTTGCGATTAACACGGGCATAAGGCCTATCGAGAGACTTCGTGCTAAGATCATCGATATATACAATAGCACCGGACCAAGTTGCATCGAGGCAGTCTAAGAGGTCCATGGCTTCAAACTCATCAACCCAGACTCCATAGTTATTAGGCCAAATGAGCTTCGGGTTGGGGTCAATGGAGACGACCGAAAGCCCAGCTTCAGAGACTTGTTGGGCCACGGCGAGCCCAGCTGGGCCCCCGCCAACCACAGCGAGATCCACGGAGAGTCTTTTGGAAGGGTCATACAAAGGGAGATCGAATTCGAGGAGTTCTTTCTTGGTTTCAGGGATTAGGTCAAGAATCGCGCTGCTGCTGATCCTAATGGATGAACCTTTACACCTTCTCTGACATGGTTTTCCATTGAAAAGCTTGGTGGAGCTGGGGGTTTGGAGGAGGTTGGGGGAAGGGGAAAGGAAGTGCCTTTCCGCTAATTCATGAAGTGGGTGGAGCAGTTCTAGCCTGTTGTGGGTTCTAAGCAGGGTTCCCATGAGAATCAAAGATGGGTTTTCACAAAAAAAAAGAAAAAACTTCAGATTCTAATTGGGTTTTCTGCAACAACTCTCAGAATCCTAAAAAAATTAAGACTATTATTATTAACATTACAGATTCAGCTGTAGATAAGAAGAAACTGGGGGAAGGGACAAGAGAGCTTACCATGAAGAAGAGGGCATCTTAGCTTCGTGGATTCTGCGTGGATTCCACAAGTGAGGTTTTGGACTTCGGGCGTGGATAGGTTTTTTTTTTCTTCTCTTTCTTCTCTTTTTTGCCCTTTCCTATTTTGTTTTTTTAGGTATTTTATTTGTATGCCGAAGCCTTTGTGGAGGCTGGGCTGCCTCGCAAAACTGCAGGTCACCAGGACTCCAGATTTTTGTCATGTAAAATTTCAATTTTTTCAATACGCTTAAAAAAATGTGGTGCTTTGCATTCGTAGAGAGGAAAACAAAATCACACAGATCGTCATCTGTACAAATCATGCGCGTATGGATTCTAATTTTACTACATCAAGTATGTGTAGTGCTCACCACAAATAGGTGGTCTGAAAACACAGTGGTAGTACTACCAACACTCCTACTCTGTTGGTTTGATCTTTGCCGAACACCCTGGAGTGTGAGAACGAAAGATAAGACCCACACAGCTGGGATTTTACTCGGTAGAGATCAGGGACCGAACTCGAACTTTGGTCGAACTTTGGCCAGGAATCCTCATGTATTGCCAAGATTTTCCATGTATTAGGGAAAAAGTCACCTTAATATTGCAAATTTACAATAAAGGAGGTAAAAATGTGCACATTACCAAAAGTGTCCCTATCTTACCCTCAACAGCGTATAAAAATTCCTTCCCAAAATAACCCACTTCAGGTCTTCACTTTTTCTTCACTCTTCCATCCAAAAATCTACCCACCATCACCATGCTCCTGTCATCCAAATCCTACCCAATCTCCTGCAATTTCCCTTCCCACCCCAGAACCCTAACCCTAACCCTAACCTCCGCAAACCAGCGCACCTTCGCACCTAAAACCCTAAATTTCCCCAAAACTCTTGTCCTAAAGGCCAAGTTCAGGTCTTTTCTAGTCTGCCATGATTCCATGAATAAGGACCCAGCTGGGGAAGAGAGCAGGGCTCCCTTGGAGAGGAATGGGGATGGCGGGAAAGGAAACGATTGGTCGACTTCGATTTTGCTGTTCGGGTTCTGGGCTGGGCTCATGTACTATGTTTTCAAGCTGACGCCGAATCAAACTCCGGTAAGGATTCGATCCAAGATTGGTTCTTTATCGAGGGAGTTTGCTGATTTTTAGTAGATACACGTTACCCATTTAGAATTTGATCGTACCCGTCGGATTTGTTTGAGTTTAAATATATTATATTACTCTTTTAGTTTAGAAAAGGAAAGAATTGAATGCGGATTAGATAAACTTTATGTTGAATTGATGTAGTAAACTTATTAGTTTCCTTGTGTAGATGATACCGAAAAATTAGGTTGAAGGCTTTATAAAACGTCAAATGAAATAAGAACTCAATTTGTCCGAAACAGTGTTTTAAGTTTCCCATTGATGCAAAAGTGTTGACTGCTGAGCAATTGGGTTTCTGTGATAATGGTACATGATTATGGTGCGCTTAGCTGATCAATTTGACTGTGCACCAGTAGTATCAAACATAAAGCTGAGTTTATCATTGTTTTTCTTCTCTGACTTCGTAATTAACCCATTCAATATAGTGCATAATACAGAGAGAGGAAAACGAGCAATTTTTGTGGATTCATGTCCACTTTTGATAGGCTTTTGTTGGTTGGAACTTCCAACAATAGTAAAACTGTAAAACTGAACAAACTTGATCTGATAAGAAATGGTGTACAGAAGTATCAATTTGACAAGTATGTTGTACATGACTCGAACCCAACAAATAGAAAGAATCCAATACTTCCATACATATATGTAATATGTGTATGCTAAATACGGATGCTTGGCCTGTCTAGACACAAATGTGAAATTCTTGAATATCTCCATCCAGATCTTAAGGTTCAGGAATTATTCCAGTTATCTGAATAATATCCTTATAGACTATATCGTGTCTTAACAAATATGAGCTGAATAAGGTTATTAATGCGCTGTGTGTGTGTCACATATATGCTAAAATTCTGTTCTCATATTGATTTATTATTTTGCTTTCTTAACCAAATAAAATATAAAACTAGTGGTTGAATATCCAATCAGCACTCACCATCATTTTGAAACGTCATTTCTTTTTGGGATTTTGAGATATTGGTGCCCCAAATCTCATCTTTTTGGATACAAGTCTCCCAAATCATCATATTTGGAAACAAGCCCCCTGAAAGTTCTTAGCTTTTGAAATAAGTCCCCATGGTTAATTACCATCTACTTTATTCAACTAAACTAATGTGTCTGTTAGTTTTTTTATTATATTTTTGCCCTTGTCTTCAACCTACCCTCTTGTAAAAGGTAAAGAAGTCAATGTATCCTTTGAACCAATTTAAAGCCAACTCTATCTATCTAAACGTCCTAAAATCCGTCCAATTAAAAATCTATTTTCTAACAACCCCTAAGTTTAGTTGGGTTAAATGGATGGGAATTAACCATGGGGACTTGTTTCAAAGAATTTAATAGTTTTAGAGGATTTGTATCCAAATATGATGATCTAGGGGACTTGTATCCAAATATTATGATTTGGGGGAAGTTGTATCCAAATAGATGAGATTTTGGGAACCAGTAACTGAAAAACCTTTTCCTTTTCAGATGGAATGCATATTCCATTTAATTGTTGTGCCAATATTCGTTATTTACATATGTCTCCATATCCTCTTAAGCAAAAAAATTTGCAAACTTCAGTGGTTTTATGTCCTTATAAGACCCATGAAATACTTACGAGCTATCCATGTCAAACTAATATAGCAGATAGCCCTCACTAAAACTCATTAAAACAACATTATTTTAATGTCACTCCGAGACTCTTATTTTCTGGATTATGTTTTCAGTACAGGGATATATATTTTCTGCAAAAGCTGTTGAATCTGAGGGGAGACGATGGCTTCCAGATGAATGATGTACTCGTGGCTTTGTGGTACATCATGGGTCTGTGGCCCTTAGCATATAGCATGCTCCTGCTCCCAAGTGGAAGAAGGTACTTGATAACAATCAATCTAATAAAACCATTTCTTGTTCCATTTTGAAAAGTTTCTTACTGGCTGGTCATTTGTTTTTGGATTTTGGTGGGAGGTTCTTCACATGGAAGAAGTGAATGTTAAACGATCCTTTCTGCAGCTCAAAGAGCAAGGTTCCAGTGTGGCCTTTCCTTGTACTTTCATGCTTTGGTGGTGCATATGCTCTTATTCCATACTTTGTCCTCTGGAAACCGCCACCACCAGCAGTTGGAGAAGATGAAATCAGCAAATGGCCTCTTAATTTCCTCGAATCAAAGATAACTGCTGCTGTAAGTAATGATCACACACAAATATATTTTCAGTTTTTCTTAAATTTATCACATGATAGCATTTTAGCTTCTAACTTGTATAGGCCATTTACATATCAAATCGGTTAAACTCCAAATAGAATCTTAAATTTGAAGCATGTTAATCTAAATTATTATGGTGTTCTCGATTTAGTAACCAAAACCAGTTGCGTATCAGATATCGCTTGCTGCAGGTTTCGGACTAATTACATATGCTGGTTTGGCAAATGCTGATGTGTGGAAAGAATTCTTTCAATACTTTAGAGAAAGCAAGTTTGTACGTCATCTTTCATTACACCCTATATCATTGGCAATCATATATCTACATGATCTCATTTAGTTTCGTAAGTTTCAATCAAATTTATTGATTTTCATCCCAATGGCAGATCCATGCTACTTGCCTAGACTTTATGCTGCTGTCAACCTTTGCTCCCTTCTGGGTGTACAACGATATGACTGCTAGAAAATGGTGAGAACTTATATTCTGAACTCATAGGTTTATAAAATGTAGCTTGTTTGTGACAAAATTGAGAGTTGAACAATTTTATTGTAACAGGATCGATAAAGGCTCTTGGCTTCTGCCCCTTGCACTGATTCCTTACCTTGGTCCTTCGTTGTATCTTCTTCTTCGTCCACCTCTTTCATCATTGCTGACAAGTGAAGAGTGATCATATTCATGAGTTATTGCATTCAAGATTTGTTTACACAGAGGCTACTATGTGAATTGCTCACAAGTTACAGCGAAAAATGAAATCTGCATTCAAAGCTAGTAGTTAATGCAGTTCAAGATTGCAGGATGAGATACAGACCAAGCTTTAAGTTTTCAATTAGTATCTTAGAGAAATCATTTTATGATACAAAGAAGCTGGAAATTTGTAATGACACATGTAAGTATATTCTGTACCAATGTAATACTATCAAGTATAGTTTGTTAGGTGCTTGCTGCTGTACGGAAGCACGATTAAATCTGCGAAACTGAATTCTCCTTTTGTATGCTTTCGCATCTGGAGTAGTTTTCTTTTTCTTTTTCTTTTTCTTTTTTTAAATAATGAAGAATCATGTTTATGTGTTGAAGATATGAGAGTCAGCTGAACATACAAGAAAATCCATCAGCTACTCTTTAGATTATAGCAACCAAACAAGAATGCTATGCGTCTGTTGTATATTTTGTATGAGAATCATCAAGAAATCTTATTTACAGCTTGAAGATTATTGCTTCTTGAAGACGTATAGGAGTAAATGAATCTCATAATCTTATGTTTGAGTTTCCGCTTGAGTTCTCTTTAGTTGAACCTTACGTCATGAACTGAGAGTTCCTTTAAGGACGACTTTAGTAAAATACCAGCAGTGGAAACTTGAAAAATAATTCTATTAACAATAATCGCTTGTGTCTACAAATTATATAGTATAATGAAATTTGTAAAGCTGTGTGTTCAGAAAAAGAGCAAAGCAAACAAGACATGTTAACAAGCTCGGTACGCTTACCCCTGTCATACTATTGCGCATCTGTTTCCGTGGCATTGATAATGCACCAAACATGTACCAACATTTGGATCAATGCACAGATCAGCGGTTTATTGATCGACGAGTTTTTTCGACGACGAGGAATGTCGGTCAGGGGACTCCTCCTTCGGCCAACGGGGATCCCGAAATCGAATCTGTTGACTTATGAATTGATATCATATTTGATGCACCTTTGTTATCATGTTGGTTTATTGCGGACAGACCCTCTGTAATAACGCCCAATTGCGAATAAAGTCCACGCATTCCGAGTGGATTTTTTTAAAATCTTTTACCCGAGGATAGCAAATTCTCAAAAACAAGTTCTCATTTTCTGAGGATGCATACATGCAAGAGTAGAACTACATGGTCTATGATGCTGATAATACAGAATTTATACAATTTTTTCGCAGCTAATCCACAGGATAGCTTTTTGTTGAAGCCTCTAAAAATTGCATCTTTTTCGTTTTTTCAAACCAAACACCGGCGGTAAAAATAAAGCATGGGCTCTCCCCCGCCGCCTCCTTAAACCCTAAACCCTAACCTCTCCGTTCCATGCCCTGTCATCAACCTCGCCAACTCAACAGAACCCTGGAATCCCTCTCCAACGCCGGCGACCACTTCTCCAAGCTCTGCTCCGCCGCCGCCTCCCACCGCCGCCCTCCTCCGACCTCCGCCCTCAACAAAACCCTAAAATCCCTCTCTCGCTCCGGCAACGCCGACGAACTCCTCGACCTCGCCGCCAAATCCCCCAACCTCTCCTCAAAAGTCTTCTTCTTGAACACCCTCATCAACGCCTTCATCGTCTCCAAATGCCGCCATAAAGCCCGTGCCGCCTTCGCCCATCTGAAACAAACCGGTGTAACCCTGACGAATCCGTCTTATTCTATTATCTTAAAGCTCCAGTTTTTGTTTGAGACCGATTCGGAATCGCCATATTCGATTATGGGAGCTATGGTGAAGTGTGGATGTAAACCTGATGCGATTACGTACTCGACATTGATTTCTGGGCTGTGTAGAGTTGGGAGGATTGAAGAGGCCTGGGGGTTTGTGGACAAAATGGAAGAGGAGAATTGCCCGCCTACTGTTCGATGTTATACCTCAATTGTTTTCGGGTATTGTAATTTCGGGAGGATCGATGATGCAAAGTGTTTGATTGATAGAATGGGGAGTTTTGGGTGTTCTCCGGATACTGTAACTTATACGATATTGATAGATGCAATGTGCAAAAGGGGAGGTTTTGATGAGGTGAGGAGAGTTTTGGAGGAGAGTGAATTGAATGGGTGGAAGCCGAATGAGATCACATATCATGTTTATATCAATGGGCTCTGTAAGGTAGGAGAGGTTGATGAGGCTTTTCGGCAGTTGGATACTATGAGGGATCGGGGGTTGAGCCCATCATTGGAGACTTTGCACAGACTGTTTGATTCTCTATCTTGTGATTTGAGTGAAGAAAATTTGTGGAAGGTGATAGAATTGTTGAGCTGGGATGTCGATGCGTTCTTTTATAATACATTGGTGGGTAAATTTTGTCAAAATGGTAGTTGGTTAACTGTGCTCAAGCTTCTAGCTGCAATGTTGAAGAAGGGAATGCTAGATATTTGTACATATACTGTAGTGATTAATAGCCTTTGTAAGAGAAAGATGTTGGGAGAAGCAAAATATGTCTTTTGCAGTATGGATTTTGAAGCTGATGCTGTGGCATTTAACACTTTGCTTATGGGTTTTAACAGGGCAAGAGAGTTCAATGAAGTTTACTTATTATTTGACTTGGTTGGGAAGAATATCACCCTTAATGAATATTCATATGTTATCTTGATTGACAGCCTTTGTCGAGAGAAAAGATTTCAAGAAGCTGTTGACTATATTTTTCAGTCGATCAGAAAAGGTTTCTTGCCAAATTTGATTACTCGTCCAGTAAGTTGGTTGGTTAAGGATGGGAAACCGACAGAAATATTGAACCTGTTCGAAGAAATGTTGGGACGAGGATTAGTCCTAGATGTTGGTGTATTCAATTCATTAATTAGGGCACTTTGCAAAAAAGGGCTTTGCCGAAGTGTAGACTCAGATAAATTTTATCTTATTTTTGACATAATGCTGGGAATTAGGCAATCACTTTCAACCTTGGACCATGAAGATGAGCTTACTGGAGGTAAAATTCGATCTACTTATCTTTGTATCATTTGTTGAACTTCACAGAGATTAATTGGGTCTTGATTATGCATATCCGCTTTTCAGCAAATTAGTCTTACTATATTATTAGTGTTTTATAAGTTTATTGTACTGTTTTACAATTATGTTCATTGTTGTCTTAGTAATTGGTATGTTCAATTCACTAATTAGGGAAAATTGCAAGAAAAGCCTCTGATAAAGTGTAGACTCGGATAAATTTTATCTTATTTTCAACATTATGTTGCGAATAGACGATCATTCTCAACCTTGGAGCATGAAGACGCACTTATTGGAGGTAAACTTCAATCTACTAATCTTTGTACCATTTGTTGAATTCTGTAGAGATTAATTGGATAATTATTATGCATATTTGATTTTCATAAAATTGGTGTTACTGTATTATTAATGTTTCTAAAGTTTGTTGTACTGTTTTTCATCATCTTTTACGTATATGGTGGTATTACTACCTCCTAACATGCTATTTCTCTATTCTATAGTCTATAAATGAATAATTTTATGAAGAACATATGATCATTCTAGTTACTGTTCAAAAAGCTGTCATCAAAAAATTATTGTCAATATTGATGTAGGAAAGAGCTTAAGCTAGTAGCTCCAGAAGCTGCAGAAAAGGGGTTCCAGTCAGCTGAACAGAAAGTTGCAAAAAAAAAAAAAAAAAAAAAATTAAATAAAAAAAATAGAAAGAGTTGTAAAAAAAAAAAAAAAAAAAATAAATTAAATAAAAAAAATAGAAAGAGTTGGAAGGAGACATATTTTCCAAGCAATCTACTACTTGTTTTATACAGTATATTTTGTCCCTCTAGCTTAATTGTTATAATACTTTTTCGAGGGTAATTAAATTTTGTATAAAGACGAGACATCTTCCTGGAAATGTAGCAGCTTGCCTCTTTGTTTTCTTTTGCTCCTAAAAGGTGGATAATAATTCAATATGGCCAGTCTTGTGGTCTCACCTCTTTCTCTAGAGTCTTAGGAACTGAATAGAGGCTATGTTGCTTAATTTTTAGAGTTGTGTGGAGCAAAGTTAGGTGTGGTTTCACTGTCTAGGAGACAAATTAGGAAATGTTATCTGTCTGGTTGTTTGTGTTGCAATTAATATTTCACCATAATTGTAACAGGAAGTTTTCCGTCTAAATTGTTTTTACATCATTGGTTGATTGTTCACAAAGATTAAGCAGATTTATTATGCATATAGTGCAGTATTCACTACCTCAATAGTTTGTTTGTTCTTTGCTCATATAAACGAATACTTTTACGGAAACACATAATGATTCCAGTTATCGTTGATAATATATTATAAGAAATTATTGGAAATTTTGATGTAGGAAAAAGTTTAAGCTAAGAGAAGCTCTAGAAACTGCAAGGAAAGCTGAAGAAGTTGCGGAAAGAAATTCAAGACAGCTGAAAAGAATGTCACAGAAATTTTAGCAAAGAAGAAGGTACATTCCCAAGGAACCAGGTTTAATATCTGCTGAGGGAAACCAATCTACTAGTTATTAGGTATTTTTATGCAGTGTCATTCCTCTAGTTACCATTGTCACTTTTTTCACAGTAATAAACTTTCTTTTAAAGAAGTGAACGAATCTTTCAGGAAATGTGGACCTCCTCTTTGTTTCCTTTTGTTCCTTCAGCTCCTATTGTTCTATATCTTGCCTTTCTCTTTGTGCTTCTTATACAGTCTAAGAATCTATGTCAACATTCTTATTTTTCTACAGTGATATTTTCTAAGGCACGTTCTTAATACAGGTGTATTTAGCGTTTCCAGGGCTTAAAATTGACATCAATTTTAAAAGATCCAATAAGAGAGGAGACTGAAAATTAATTGTTCTTTTACCCCTTTTTTCTCTTGTTTCCTTTAAAGCATGGAAGAGAAAAAAGGGAACAACTTTGTAAAATAATTTCTTTTAGTACATGCTTTTTATATCTATAAGTTTGATCATGCTTTATTTTTTTATCCTGGCAGTTTCATTTAATCCTATTATATCCAATAAGCAATTGCAATTTTTTTCTTTCTAAATCCAGGTACATAATACATTGTATAATCAATACTAAACTGGAGTTTGGAGGTGATGAAGAGATGGTCATTGCGGAGGAGAGAAAGCGGTGTTGTAAAATGGAATAACTTTTTTGTAAGATTTTTACACTTTAAATCAAATGTTATATTCTCCTTCAATAAACTAAGTATTATACTTATTCAACATGTTATACTTTTTATCAGAGTGTTACGAATACTGCAACATTAAGCATTTTTGCCTTTTGTAAGTTTGTTATAATTTTCTTATGTTACCGTTGTAATCTGACTTCTCTATTATCTATACTTGTGTTCTTCTGTTTTCTTTCTTTCTCCTAAACCAAAAACATCAAAGAAGAAAACTGAGTTTCTACCATAGGAAACTACATAAAAGGAGTACAAAAGATGGATGAGAACGAACCAAAGTTGAAGAAGATACCATAAATTTTCGATGGATCGCCTCACTTCAAAGCTTTACAAACTCGATATAAAACAAACATTTCCACATAAGAATACAAAAACTCTAATCTCCTATCATCTCTCAACTATAACCACAATTGCACACATTACATTATTGTCAAAAGTCACAAACATTTGCACATCATGCCATCAACACACTGAGGCAACAAAGACAATCACAAAAGAAGGCACATCATCATAAGAAGGCACATCATCATACTTGTTTCTCTCTGGCACCAGAGGAATGACAAGATGAACTCCCATCCGCGGGGTTCTCCATATGAAATATCCCACTAAAATTTCGAAGCAACGGCTTCTTCGCTTCGCTCCCTTCAAAACCCTAGAACACAACGGAACCCTAGGCGGTGATCCTCCTTCAGTCTCTGCCATTTCTTTACCTTTCTTCTTTTTCTTTCATTCAACCTCCAACTGCATTCTTCGCCTTCCGCCCTCTTCAAAGCTTCTTGCTTGCTGATTCCATCCCCTCTGTCTCCTTTTTAGGGCTTCTGTTCGATTGCGTTCACTGCCTTAATTTGAGATTTAGCATCTGCCACCTTCATCTCCGTCATATTCTCATCAGACTGCCTTCTGCCCTCTTCATCTACTTCGGGATCACAATCTCAACCTTAGCTCAGAGATTCTTGATCTCATTGAGTATTCGAGCTTCTGTGATCTCACTGCCTTTGCATCCTTAAATGCTATCTCAAGCTTCTTGGATACAGCAAGCTTCGCTGCTCAATTCTCCCTGCCTCTGCTTCTTTTTCATAGCTTCAGGCTCTGTTGCAGCCTCGTTCAGCTGTGCATTTCCAAAGCTTGGGGTAAAAGCTTCAGCCTATGCATCCTTTTGTTTGAGATCATTGTGTTGTTCTGTAAATGTTTCGAGCTTTAGCTTTAGGGACTTGTCTAAGCTACGGAGCAAACTTCTTCAAAGTCTAGCTTTAGGGACTCAACTAAACCATGGAACAAATCTCTCCTGCTACTTTCTGTAGCACTTTCTTAGCTCCATCAGGCTCGTTAGTCATAGTATTTTATATTAGACCCATGAAAATAGTGACTTCTGAAAATTTTGAAGTACACATAATTAATTGCGTTTGGGTCTTGAAAATTATGAATTTTGAAGTACACATAATTGATTGTAATTTGGTTGAAAGTTGAAACAGATGAAAATGCTGAAAATCGTGGGTTAAATCATATGAAAATCACGAATTTTGAGGTATCCACACTTAATTGTTATTTGATTGAAATGAACGAAATTGAACAAAAAATGTGGGTTAAGAGCACATGAAATTTCAAATTTCCAAACATGCACACTTATTTATTATTGGACTGAAAAGGATGAAAGTGGACTAAAATCATGAGTTATGCCAGTGACAATTGTAAATTTTGACGTAGTCATACTTAATTACCACTGGATCAAAACAAACAAAAATAAACACAACTCACGCAATATAGCCAATTAAAATCCTGAAATTTGGAGTATCTCTACTTAATTGTCATTGGGTTGAAAGAAACAAAAATGAACAAAAATTTATTGGTTATAGCTTATGAAAACGACTAAAGTTTGAGGTATGTATACTTAATTGCCATGGGTCGACACGAATGAAAATTGACAAAATCATGTGTTTATAGCTCATGAAAATCTCAAAATTTTAAGTACGTGAATTTAATTGCCATTGGGTCGAAACCAACGAAAATGGATAAAAATCATGAGCTATATATATAGCCCTTGAAAATTGCGAATACTTAGAGTACCAAAACTTAGTTTTCATTTGGTTGAAACCAACGATAATGGACATAAATTATGGGTTATAACTCATGTCAATTTTGAAGTACACGCTCAACTTTGGGCCGAGACAAATGAAAATGGACAAATATAGTTGGTTATAGACCTTAAAAATCGCAAATTTTGAAATACATATCTTAATTTTCATTGGACTGAAATAAACGAAAATCATAGGTTATAACGTATTATGACACAAAATTTGGAAGACTTGTACTTAACAGTTATTGGGTCAAAACGAATGAAAATTGACAAAAGTCATAAGTTAAGGCCCATAAAAATTACGACTTTTGATGTACCTATACTTAATTGCTATTTGATCAAACTTAACGAAAATGGATAAAAATTATGAGTTATAGCTCATAGAGTAGCAAATTTTAAAGTACACATATTTAGTTGTCATTGGGTTGTAATGAACAAAAATGAGCAAATATCTTGGGCTAACCCATAAAAATCGTGAATTTTGATATATGTGTACTTAATTGGCATTGGATCCAAAGGAATAGAAATGAACAAAAACCATAGGTTAGAACCCACGAAAATCGCAAATTTTTGAAGAACTCATACTCAATCGCAATTGGGTTGAGACGAACAAAAACATTACTTGTTGTTTTATATAGCGTGTAGTCCCTCTAGTATTTGGTTAAACCTATTAATAGCTTAATATTGCTATAAAATCCCAAGGCCCGTCAATCTCTGTTGTTCTCTCTCTACGTTTCATTCCATCTTCATTTTGGTTCTGATTTCGGTTCAACTCCCTCAACTCCTATAATATTATCCCCTACCATTCTTTTTGTGCTTCTTATACAGACTAAGAATCTCATCATTCTTATTTTCCTATAATCATCTTTTGTACTGAGGCTAACTTCCTTAAAATTTGGTGTTTTTAGATTTTTTTTTTTAGATAATAAAGGCGACATCAATTTGACAAATCCAATAAGGGAGGATACTGGGAGTTAAAACAGTTTTATTATTCCTTCTTTCTCTTGTTTTCTCTTAGGCATGGAAGAGAAAAAGGGAGTGAAATTGCAAAACTTACTTTCTTTTAGTAACATTTGATTTTTATATCTAACGTTTGTTCATGCTTTACTTTCATTATCCTGGTAGTTCCACTAATTCTGTTATATCCAAGAAGCAATTGTTGAGGCATTTCATTTTCTAAATCCAGGTACATAATACACTATAATATCAATCCTAAACTAGAGGTGATGAAGAGAGGATCAATGCGGAGGAAATACTGGCCCTAACCACTTCTTCGAAGGGGATAATCTTTATTTCAAAATGATGTACTCATCTGTAAGACTTTAGCTATAAATCAAAGTGTTACATTTTTCTTTAATGTATTCTTTAAAATAAGTGTCATACTTTTATTTAACATGTTGTGCTTTTTGTAAGAGTGCTTTACTGTATCATTAAGTGTTTCTGGCCTTTCTGTAAGTTTGTTAATAATTTTCTTCATTGTTATAAGAGTTGTATGATTAATTAATAAGTTTTTTAACCTTTCTGTTGCTTAAAATAAAGTGCTATACTTGTTCTCTTTAATGTCTTAATACTTTAATCAAGATGTTATAGTTTTATCCTTTACCTCTCCATTGTCTATACTTGTTTCCTTTTGTTTGCTTTGGTTCTCCCACACCAAAAACAGCTCAAAAGAAAATTGAGTTACTACTGTGAGTAAACCACATTGAAAACAGCACAAAGTCGGATGAGAACGATACAAAAGCTTGAACAGGATACACTACAATTTTGATGGATAACCTCACTTCAAAGCTTTGCAAACTCAAATGATAATATGGAGGACAAACATCTCACATAAGGATACAGAGAGCCACTCATCTCATCTCCTGAGTCAAGTTTACAGAAACTCGCAGACATTTGCACATCAACAGACACAACAAACACAATCACAAAACAAGGCGTATCATCGTACATGCTTCTCTTTATCTCCAGAGGCATGAGAAGGTGAACTTCCATCCACAGTGCTCTTCTTCTTATGGAATATCCCACTGAGATTCGTAAGCAATGACTTCCTGGAAGAACCCTTCTTCTTGCTCCCCTCGCTCTCGTCAACTGAAACCTTAGATGGCGATGAAACCCTAGGTGGTGACCCTCCTTCAGTCTCTGTAGCTTTCTTCTGCTCCTTCTCATTCAACCTCTTTACTTCTCCTTCAAGTGCATTCTTTGATGACCCTGCCATTTCTGCCCTCTTCAGAGCATCTTGCTTAGCTAATTCCGTCTCCTCTATCTCCTTCTTTGTAGCTTCGAGTCTCTTCTCAGCTTCAGTATCTATCGCATTCATTGGATCAACCTGAGCTTCAGCAGCCGTCGCCTTCATCTCCGTCGGCCCCCCAGATCCCTCTGCTTTCTTGTTCAGAGACTGAAACTCCTCCTTGGAGATCACAATCTCAGCCTTCGCCGACAGGTTCTTGATCTCATCGAGCGCTCGAGCTTCCGCGGCTTTCGCTGCCTCTGCATCTTTAACTGCTATCTCGAGCTTTTTCTCTGATTCGAGTAAGGCGAGTTTCGCTGCTTCAGCTTCAATCCTTGCTGCCTCTACCTCTTTATTCATGGCTTCAGTTTCAGATTCTGTTGCAGCCTCGAGTTCAGCTTTGCATTTCTCGAGTTTGATGTTGAGATCTGCTACAAGAGCTTCAGTTTCTGCATCCTTTTTTTTGAGATTGTTGTGTTGTTTTGTCACTGTCTCGAGTTCTAGCTTTAGGGACTCGACTAAGCTACGGAGAGAACTTTCCTCTCCTTCTACTTTCTGCAGAACTTCCTTAGCTTCATCGAGCTCATTAGTTACAGCATCTTCCAACTTTTCATGAACTGCAGTGATCTCAGTTTCAGCCTCAACTAGCTTTGATTCGAGTGAGTCTTTCTCAGATTGAATCTTCGATTCTTCCTTCTTGGTTCGGTCGAGGGTTTCTTTTGCTGCTGAAATCTCCTTTGAGAGCTGACTGGCCTTCAAGGCGTTCGCTTCAGACTGCTGGTTTGCCTGAGATTCTTGATTCAAGGCCGAGATCTTGGCTTCAGCTGAGGCCTCAAACTCCTCCTTGATCCTCTTGAGCTCTTGCTTAGCAGCATCAAGTTCAAGAATAGCAGCAGCATACTTCTCCCTGGACCTTGCAAGCTCGAGCTTTCCAGTTTGGTCATCAGCAGAACTTGCTTCTTCGTTGAGTGGGTTGGTTCGAGTGTTGGCAGCTTCGGCGGCGTTCAGAGCGAGCTTTTTGGACTCGTTGATGGCTGTGAGCTTGGCTGTCAGATCTTGAACTGTCTTCTTGGCATTTTCGAGCTCCGCTAGGGCTTGTGCCTTGGTTGTTTCAGAATTTTGGAGTTGTTCCTTGAATTTACTTAGCTCTTTCTGGGCTAAGTGGAATTGTGTCTCTGTTACAAATGCTGTCTGCTGCAAAATTGATAAGGGGGGCATCGAAGTGATCATTATAGGCTTAAGCTGAACCGTCAGATGAGCAAGAAACACAGAATTCTACATCAACTTCCATCACACGCCAGAACCCGGTTCTCTCTCTCATTCCCCTCCAAGAAAATCTAGTAGGCTTCCTCCTACGCTTTAACCAAGCAGAGAATTCTACTGACTCGAGCAAGGGTCGAAAAGTTTTGAAGAAAAGTCTAGTGAATGGTGATCAATTCAATGAAATATCCTCACGCTTAAAGGTGGAGCCTATACTCCTATTCTCTTCATACTCATTGCTCTGAATTGGATTTCTAGGCACCCAAGAGGCTGAGAAAAGTAACGAGCTTTCCACAATTGGATGTTCCTCAACGCTCGTACGGTTCAATGCTCTACTCTAGATTTTCTCATTTCACAAGAAATTTTCATGTACCTACTTATCAACCATACCTTCCTGTAGCGGTGAGATAATCCTCAAGATTAGTTTTTTCCATAACCTAGTTCGCACAGTAATGCGCTCGGAAGGTAGGATCGATGGATATGCGGGCCCGGATTCTCTGCAATCTTGATGGTAGAGAATGCCTATAACTAGTTAGGTGCGCTAATACGATCGATTTATCTCAGTAGGCCCTACAATTAAAAGTTTTTCGTAATATCATTTAGATAATTAATCTTGGCCGTACCCTGAATATGCAATTAACCCTTTAAATATATCATGGTTATAAATGAGCAAGGGACATAAATCTAATGACTCGAGGACTTACATCCGGTGTGATGGGAGACCTTACTGGACTGTAAGGCTTGCCCTTCTTCCCTGTAAACGCAACCTCGCCGAACAAGCTCGCAGCGGCCTTGACTGACGAGAAAGGGGCCCTGGTGTCGATCTCCCCCACCTCGCCTCTGACGGAGTCGAACGAAAATGAACGACCCTTCACACCCATGATGGTTTCGTCTCAGTTCGATGACAACCTGCGCTCGCGAACCAAATAGCAAGTACTGTCAGATGTGGGTAGGAAAAGCGAAACAGCGATCGGTCGTGTTTTATGCCTTGATTAGCCACCAAACAGTGTCAACCCTGTAAAAAATTGCAATTGATGTTTTTTTTTTTTTTTGAAAAAAAAAACGAAGGCACAAGCCAAACCGTTGAAAAATTGCAATTGATGTTTTTTTTTTTTTTTGAAAAAAAAAACGAAGGCACAAGCCAAACCGTTGAAACTCCTTATCGGCCAAGGCAAATGTAGGGCTTAAAGTCTCACAGATTTAATCTCGTTCTTCTTCTGAATTCCTATACATTAGAAACTTAAGAGGTAAAATATTTGAACTCTCGAAAATTTTGGGTTCTTATTTGGCGCACTTTTTTCTTCAATAATTTATTATCAACTAAACCAAATTGATAATTTCCCAATTTCCATAATCCACAATAGAAGAAACTAAAAGCTTTAACATTTCAAAGGAAAAGTTTCGCCTTTTTTCCCCCCATTTCTGTTTCTATTTTTTCAGGTTGCATCTTGTAAACAAGAGAAACCAATGTATATATCTAAAGCAAGAAAATTAGTAATAACCCAGATGATGATGATGATGGAAAACGATTGTAACGACAAATAACGGGAAAATTACCTCGAATTATAGCTCAAAATTCGAAGTAGAATCCGTCCAATTGCTGGAATCGACCTCAGAGCTAATTCCCTCTCTATCAATGGAAGGACTCAATGTCTCGAGGATTATTGAGGTCGAAACCCTAACCGAAACGGGAAAAAGGTCGGATCTTTTTTGGCCCTCCGAAAAAAAAACGAGGGAAGGGAGAAGGGCGCGAGACGAGGGAGTCGGATATAGAGAGAGATTTTGAAAGGCTTGTGGGGTCCACCTTATTCTTCTCCGCGTATTTATACGGTTATTAATTTGTTTTTTTTTCTAATTATTTTATTTTATTTATTTTGTTTTGTTTCGGCTGTCGAAATGCTGGATCAGAAAGAAAAAGAAATTGCCAGGTTAGCTTTTTTTTTTAGGGAAAAATGTGTCCAGGCCCTAAAACAGAAACTCCATGTGCTGCAGCCCCTCCTAGTTTCCCCCATGTGGTTCAGCCCATTGAAGTGTGACATTTTGTGCTGCAGCCTATTTTTAACAATTATTACATGTCAACTAAGCTAAAATCCCCAAAATAACCTTATCTCCTCTCCTCAATCCTTCAAACCCAGTTCTCTCTCTCTCTCTCTCTCTCTCTCTCTCCCATCTCTCTTTAAAAACAATGGCTTTCTCAAGCTCGTCGCTCTGGCCCTCGCCCTCCTTGCCGTCGCCACCTCCGCCCAGGCTCCCAAGCCTCCCCCGAGTTCGCCGCCGCCTCCCCTCCTCCTCCGCCCCCGACCTCGTCTACGCCGGAGTTCGCCGCGCCCCCTGCCACTTTTAAACCCTATAGTATGATAGGTCGGAGGAGGATGACCAAGAGAAAAGAGTGCATGATGCCCAAGAAAAGTGAAAATGAAGGGGATGCAGTGCAACAACAACAACAAAAACGTGTTAGTTCTTAGCCATCTTGACTAACAATCTCCTTAATAAGCAGTGACTTCTCATCAATTCCAAAAAAAAGAGTGGCCTTGTGCCTGCATCCCCTTCATTTCCACTTTTCTTGGGCATCATGCACTCTTTTCTCTTGGTCATCCTCCTCCGACATACCATACTATAGGGTTCAAAAGTAGGCGCAGCGGCGAACTCCGGCGTAGTCGAAGGCGAGACGGGGAGCGACGGGGATAATAAAAATTCATCTCATGACATTTGTTCGGATAGTAATGATGATGACGGCGATAATAAAAATGAAAAAAGAAGGAAGAGAACGCCAGTAGCATAACTAAATGTTGGTTGTGTTTATGTGAGATGACACGGTCTTAATGGACCAATACGTTATGAATAATACAATTATTAAATTTCAATAAAATTAATATAAAGATAACCGTTGAAACAACGCGTTTAATATTAGAAGAACGAATACCGTACTCAAAATTTTAAAGGGAGATACAACTAACGATACAGAGGACTGTGTAATGAAATCTTCTTGTTTTGTTTCGAAATAGCTCCCCAAATGTGCGGCAGAAAAAAACATAAACCCTAACCCTAGCCCCCCCCCCCCCCCCCCGCCCCCCCTCTTCATGCCCCACCTTCAGCCTCCTCTCACCCTCCGCAGAACCCTAAGCCGTAACTCTCTCGAACCTCCTCCGCGGCGCCTCGACAGGCTCATTTCCCGCATCTAGCGCAAGCTTCCCGCCGCCGCCGCCCTCCTCCTCCCCTCTTCGTCGCCGGCATACGGATGTTAAAGACAGCGCCGATTGAGATCTCCTCTTTAGAGAGTGTTTACGCCAGCATGCGGGGCGAACGACCACACAGGCCTAACTTGCATTTCTCGAAATCATGTACCTACATTGAACCAACCAGGATACCCCGACCATTCTCACCCCTACTGCTTTCTTCTTTGCAACTACCCTCATCAACGTCATCGTCGCCGCCGCCGCTCCGGGCCGTGAGGCTTTCGCCCATTAGGTCCTTACTGATATGCTTGAGAACAGCTAAAATAATCCGCGAGTCAAAATGACTATCCAATGGCAATAACTCAACAGCTCCGTTCGGTTACTCCATCCTGCTTGAAGCTCCAGTTTTTTATCGAACACCCCGAAACCGCTCAATGAGGCAGAATCGCCCCCTCATAATTTCGTATTGTACCCTATGCGACCTCAGGGCTTTTTGATGATAGTGTTTACCAGAGGTATCTGCGAGAGTGCCCCAAAGGCCACTACATTACTTCAAAAGGACTTAAGAACACAAGAATATTGCACAAATGCGTGACCGTAGTATAAGAAGAAACGTAAGATTCTCTATTTGCCTCGAGGCCGCTGGCTCGCGGATGAGAGTCGGGAGGATGGACGAGGCTTTGGTGGGTTTGATAGGATGGGAACAGGAAGGCTGCCCGCCGACCGTTCGATGCTATACCTCAATGATCCTTGGGTACTGTAAGCTGGGGAGGGTCGATGAAGCCAAGGGTTTGGTTGGTAGGGCTGAGGATAAGGACGCCGTGATGTACACGATTTTGATTGATGCGTTGTGTAGAAGAGGAGAGGTTGATGAGGTCGAGAAGATTTTGGAGGGGAGTGAGTTCAATGGATGGAAGCCTAACGACGTTACTTATAATGTTTATATAAATGGGCTTTGTAAGTTAGGGGAGGTCGACAGGGCTTTCAGGCAGTTGGATGTCATGAGGGAAAATGGTTTTTTACCGACACTGGAAACCTTGCACATACTTTTCGCTTCTCTGTGTCGTGATCAGAGCGACGAGAGATTATGGGAGGCGAAGGCTTTGTTGGATAGGAGTAATGAGCTGGATTGGGATGTGAATGCATATTTCTACTGTACTCTTATGAGTAAATTTTGTGACAAGGGCATGAATAAACCGGTGGTTAGCCTTTTGACGTGTATGTTCAAGCGAGGAATTGAGCCAGATACTTGTACATATACGGTAGTTCTTCGTAGCCTTTGTAAGAAGAAGTATTTGAGGAAGGCAAAATGTATTTTTCATAGTATGGGTTCTGAGGCTGACATCGTGGCATATAACACTTTGCTTCTCGGTTTCAACAGGGCAAACGAGCACAATGAAGTGTACATATTATTTATGAATATGGTTGAAGATAAAGTTTCACCGAATGGATTTACATTCTGTGTCCTGATGGATAGTCTCTGTCGAGAAAATAAATATCCAGAAGCAGTTGATTGTTTTATTCAGTCTATCAGAAATGGGTTTAATCGAAATTTGATAAGCCGTCCCATATGGTGGCTGGTTAAGGAAGGGAAGGTGAAGGAGTTGCTAAATTTGTTTGAAGAAATGTTTGGACGAGGTTTTGTATTAAATGATTTTGTATTTGATCCATTGATCAGGGCTTTCTGCAGGAAAGGCCTTTGTCGAAGTGTACAATCAGATATATTCTCTCTTATTTTTGATAAAATGCTCAGTACTAGATGATTCTTCTCAAACTTGCATCATTAGAAAGAGCTCAATTGAGGTAATATCTGACCTTCTAATATCGTAGTCGTAGCATTTGCTAATTGCCTAATTCCACATGTATTAGCTGGAACTGCACATTCAACGAATAATGCGGCCACAGTTCCTTTTCTTGTCCACAGTGATATAGGCATCGTTTACCTACCGATGGTGGTTTTGTTCTTAAAGACGTAGTCAATGTGCAGATGAAAAAAAACCACATGTCGTATCGTTTCTCATAAAATCTCATGATTGAAGATGCTTTACTGATTATCCTTGTCTGGTATTATGTTACATGTTCTAGATTAGCATTTTTTTTATAGGACCCCTATAAGAATGTCTAGTTTTCGAGTAAATGCAAGCACCATCTTTGCTTTCTCATAGGATATGAAACTGGATGTTCTGAACCCTATTTTACGGGAAGTCATTTACTAAAGATCCATAGTATAAGTTAAATAGGGATGATTTACTATATCTTGAATACTGGAAAACATAAGTTACTCTTTTTTTTAATTATTTTTTAACTATTTTTATTATTATAACTCTGATCTTGTTTGTATGAACACTTGCCGAATGTTGCATGAGGATACATCTTTGAATTCTACTGCAAGATACTGCAAGTAACAACCAGGGGACGAAATTTTAGGCCCCTGGACTGACCGTGATTTATTTCTAGACCCCTGACATTTTCTGCCGTTGTATTTTACCTCTAGCTGTTGCTTGAATGTCTAGTTTCATATATACATGTCCACACAAAACCTAGACATGGATTTCATGAGAATGCCAGTTGGCTTTCTCCCTAAAACTGGATTCGGAAAATCTGACAGCCCATAAAATCTTAAATATAGAGTTTTGTAGAAAAACAAGCACAAGGATACTTGAAACGGTAATTTCGAGCCCTCTCTTCAGAAAAAAATCATAGCAGGAAGTAATCAAGGATGTGTTAGATAGGGATGCATGACTGATAGTTCATGGAGTTATACATTAAAAAAAAATTATGCTCTTCACAATGATTATTTGCAAACAATTCTCAATGTTTGATGTTCTCATTTGATCTCTTCCGGCTACTCTGAGAAACAACTCTTCATCAACAACAAATTTATCATCTTGGATCGAATCAAAGACAATCTTGTACGCATGGATGAAGCAAGAACTTTCGATCTCTTGAGGAGGGTTCAGTCTCTTTTATTATCCTCTCTACGGTTCATGAAAGAGGCAGCTGTTACGGCTCGTGGAGGAGGAGGCCTCGGGTGCTGAAGGCAATCAATTAGGCGGCGAAAGAAATTGAAGACTGAACGACCGCGACATATAAGAAAGGCTATCTGGCCGATGACTCCGCCTGTGCACGCCGCAATGGCCAGAGGCTCCATGGTTTGAGAAGAAGGAAGGAAGGGGGTTATTAGGACTTTATAAATGAATTCAGGGTCTTTGTGCTGTGGGGGTTTTGATATTGAAAGAGAGAGGTTACTGATTTATAGGGGTTTTAGGTCGTTTTGTTTTGATGGATGGGAGATAATTAAGGCTGGAATTAAATTTCGAAAACAATATTTGGGTTTTACTTGGCCATAGGGATGGATTTTGGTAGTTTTTTTTTCTTATTGTTCCAACTGTTATTTTGTAAAGAAACAGATTGGCCCGTTGGCCTAAAGGTGTAACTTATTGTTGTTTTCTTTGCCTTTTGATATTCAAATCATCTCTAATTGGGTGGTAATTGAACATGGTTCAATTCTCAAAATCCTTGCGTGTATCTCAATCCCAATTCCAATAGATTAAATCACGCCACGTAATATTCTCTCTAGTGATTTTAACTGTAGTGATTTTCAAATAATATTGCTTTTGAAGCAAGATGGCTCTTAACAGAACTGAACAGAAAAAAAAAAAAGAGATGTAAGCTTTCCTGTTGTCGCAGAAAGAAGATTTGGATGCACAACTTTCAAATAGTATTAGAATGTAACATTTTCAAGAACATGTAGGCTGTCTAAAAATCACAATAGATAGCTGATTCTCCATCAAACACCGATGATGAAAGTTACAATCTGACGACTTCCAGAAGGTTACAATTTGAAGACTTTCACACACCGATGATGAAAGTTACAATCTGACGACTTCCAGAAGGTTACAATTTGAAGACTTTCACGTAGATCGATGAAGGTTACAATCTGACGACCTTCACAACAACTGATGAAAGCTCTAATCAACAACTTTCACAATTAACATCGGGAGTTATAATCTGACGACTCTCACATATCAAAGAGCTAAAGCAAATATTACAAAACGACGATCTTTGCAACGCTCTGACAGAAAGAGACTACAAGTCGACGATCTCTTCAACCCAAGACGCAGGACTCATCCCTGCATCCCAGAGGTGAAGCATAAGTGGTCTCATTCCAGAGTCAAAGCTATGCAAACACAGCTCCTAAATGCTGCAAACGCAGCTTCCATTCGCTGCCAAACACAGCTCCTAAATGCTGCAAAACGCAGCTTCCAACCGCTGCCCAACGCAGCTTCCAACCGTTGCCCAACGCAGCTTCCAACCGCTGCTAACGCAGCTTCCAAGCTGCCAAACGCAGCTTCTAACAGCTGCCAACGCAGGTTCCATCTGTTGCCCAACGCAACTTGCAAACACTGCGTCCAAACGCAGATTTTATTCCAGAATGCAGGATTTTACATTTGACTCGTTCAAATACGAGCTGAACGGTTTTAAAACCATTTCCCACGATCTGAGGGGATCACAACTCCACTCAGGAGTGATTTAAGGGGCGGTTACATCCCATTAGCCCCACTTAGGAGCGAATTAAGGAGGTGGTTACACCCCTTAATCCCCTATAAATAACTAAGAAATCAGCTTAGTAGGAGCTGGATCTTTCATCCTTCTTTTTGGCAGCAAAGAAGAGATCTTTGGGGGGATCTTTCATTCGGCTCTGGGGCAGCAAAGAAGAGATCCTTGGCTTGTCTAACCAATTACGGTTAAGATCAATCAACTCATCAAGAGTTCTAAAACTTGCTTTGCAAGTTCTCCACAGCGTCAAATCGTGAGGAGGAGATACCGTTCTAGTGAATCAAGACGTGCGAATCGTCAACGGAGAGCAAATTCGACGCGAGCATTCGAAGAAAGCACTCCATCGCCACCGTGAAGAACCCAGAATTAAACAAATGGGAGAACCAAATCCATTCTCCTCTCTTTTGTAATCAGAAAATCCAATTGTAACTGAGATTAAAGGAATACAAATCAATTTTCCTTCGTTTCTTTTACTGCAAAATTTTCCACAAACAAAAGATGGCGACTTCGCTGGGGACTAGCTTCTCTGACGAAGAAGTGGTGACGCAATCCGATGTCCATCTCATTGGAACGACCGTCGAAATTCTTATTGTTGAATTTGATCAAGCCAAGTTTGAGGAGACCCTCTCATTCGGATCCCTTAGCCCCAAGGCTATGCGCAAGATCCGCAAAGTCTTCAAGAAGACTAAATCTCCAGTTGTGGCCGACTCACCGAAGGACCGTCTCCCTTGGGGGTTGTACTGTTCATACAGTCCCCTCTCAGAAGGAGAGGACTTAGCTTTGGCACAAATCCAAAAAAGCCGATCCTCCAATTAACGCGAGCTCCGCGTTTCTGAGCCTCAACACGAGCTCTGCATAAGCCAAGCTAAACGCAGCCCTCAGGACTGCGTTTCACCAGCAACACCTGGAGCTCAGGCATGCGTTCGGGTGACGAAATTCAATACGAAACCTGGTGTATACTCTGCGTAGCGCGACTAGATTGAGGGGAGGATATAAGAAGTTCATGGATTCAAGACATCTCAACCAGATCCATGTTCACCAAGAGCCAGTCTTGTCCAATCATGGACTGGGGGTTCCAATTCAAACCTCACGGTCAGTGAATAGTTCTCCTCGAATCTTCACAACAGATTTGAGAAAGTTCATATCGAGAGAAAGACCGATGCAACAAATCATTCGTTCATTCCAATGTGAACGACTGATTCCTACGGTCCTCTCGGGATGTCAATGCTGCTCATATGCGGCCAAACTATTGGTGTTCGACCAATTTACGAACGTTGCTTTGCCCAACTGACGACGACGTTCTCACAGGAAGAAGTCTCTAGAGACCGAATATCCTAGGGTCACTATCAATGTGATCAGCAGAAGGAAAGCCTCAGGTCCTAGTTTCGATGACTCTGAGACAAGTCGTTCATTGACCGTCAGAGAAATCGCTAACGAGTTTGAAGGAGTCTACCAACGCACTCGGACGTGAACAGGAGCCATTCTCCCTGTCAACTATCGGAGGCTAGCCAGAGGAACCAATTCCGATGGACATCACTGCAGAGACCTTAACACAGGCCAACAAGAACGCCGCTCGACGAAGAAGAAGATCTCGCGAAGAGACTTGATGAGCAGGAGGCCATGCTCAAATCTCAGCAGGAGGCCATCAATGAACTCATGGCCCTGTTGACTCAACTCGTCACAGACAAGGCCAAATCTCAGAAGACAGATTCGCCACCTAGGCAAGAATCTTCCCGGAGAGAAAAAATGTCTTCATCCCTACTTTACACAAGCAAAGGGAAGGGAAAAATGGTTGATGATACGGCTTCTAACCAAGAAGCCCATAACCTGAAATCTTCCTCTGATGAAGGAAGAGAGACGGAGAACGAGCAGAATCTCCAGTCTGTCAAAATGGAAGAATTGGAAGCTCGCCTAAATACCATTGCTAACAAAAGCGAGCTCCCAAACGAGGGAGTTTCCAAGCCCTATCCTGCAGAATGGGATGCAGCCCCTTATCCTCCAAAGTTTGAGCTCCCGACGTTACAAACTTTTGACGGCACGGGATCATCGAACCAACATATCTATCATTTCAAGTCACAGACTGGGAATGTGATATCAAACGACGCCATACTGGTTCGATTGTTCATTGGCACCCTCAAGGGAGTTGCCTTTGAATGGTTCAGGAAACTGCCTGCTGGATGTATCCAAAAATGGGCAGATCTAGAGAGACTATTCCTGTCAAGATTCTTTGAAGAGGATACAGAAGTCTCCATCTATACCCTTCTCGTCACCAAGCAGAAGAAGAGGGAGTCTGTCAAAGCCTTCGTCAAAAGGTTTCGAAACATGGCTCTGCGATGTCCGACGGGTATGACACAGTCTACCCTAGTGGAGACCTGTCGACACAATTTGCAAACCGACCTCCTAGCCCGAATAGGGGTTGCAGAATGTCATTCCTGGAGACAACTAATCTTTCAAGGCGAACAGGCTCAAAAGATTATTGTCAGGATCAAAGCTGAAGAACAAAATAGGCAGGATCAATCTGAGCAATCGGACCAAGACCAATCTTCTCAGTCAGAAGAGGAAGATACCACGGCTAGTGAAGCTAATCCTCTTTAGTAGGATGACAGGTCCAACAACTATCAGGTTAACAGTTACCTCTGATAGTCAAATTTATTAGCTAATGATCCACTAGGCGATGTGCCCTGTCTACCTCTTTCCCCCCCTGCACTTGTTCAAGACTGGGGATTGGTTTATTTGTAGTTCATTGAATTATGAGTAATAAATTTTCTGAGTTATCATATTCAATAGAATACCTCTGTCAACCACGAAATCCATCAAAACTATCACGTTAACAATTACTTCTGATAGTTCATTTTCTCCAAACTCCCCCACCAATCCTCTTCAATAGGATGGCGGGTCGACCAAAACTATCATGTTAATGATCACCTCTGATAGTCCATTCTCTCCAAATTCTCCTGTCAATCCTCTTCAATAGGATGGCAGGTCCACAAAACTATCACGTTAACATTTACCTCTGATAGTCCATCAACTGGCCAATCCTCTTCAAGTAGGATGGCAAGTCCACAAAAACTATCACGTTAACAGTTACCTTTGATAGTTCATCAACTTTCCAATCTTCTTCAATAGGATGGCAGGTCCATAAAACTATCACAGTTACCTCTGATAGTCAAACTCATCAGATAATGGCCTACCAGGTGATGTGCCTCTATTCCGATTTCATGGATAGTGCCCCACTAGGTGATGTGTCTTATCTATCTCTTTTTATTCCCCTGCTAAGTCTTAATCAAGACTGGGGATTAGTTACTTGGAATCCACTGGATTAAGAGTAACGAATCTTTCACATCATCGAGTTAACATTATACTTCTGACGATCATCATCCTTACGGAGTATGAATTCAGTTGGCATCTCTCCCAATTTGTCACGTTAACAATATACCTTTGACAATCAACTTATCAATCCTCTTCGATAGGATGATAAGTCCTCAAAATTGCTCAAATCGCAATCTTCCCCAGCAAGACACTAAGTCTTCAAAATCTCAGTATCAAAATTTATCGTTTCTGATGATAAACTCATTTAGCAATTCTCCCCAGCGAGACGCTAGTCCCCAAAATCTTGTTCAAAATACAAGTACACAAATCCTGTCACGTTAACACTAAACCTCTGACAAAATCAACTTATCAATCTTCGTCAATAGGATGATAAGTCCACAAAGTTGCTCCAATTGCAACACAAATTCTGTCACGTTAACACTAAACCTCTGACAAAATCAACTTATCAATCTTCGTCAATAGGATGATAAGTCCACAAAGTTGCTCCAATCGCAACATAAATCCTTTCACGTTAACACTAAACCTCTGACAAAACCCACTTATCAATCCTCGTCAATATGATGATAAGTCCACAAAGTTACTCTCATCGCAACATAAATTTCCGTCATGTTAATATCACACCTCTGACAAAATCAACTTATCAATCCTCTTCAATAGGATGATAAGTCCTCAAAGTTGCTCCGATCGTAACAAATTCCCGTCATGTTAACACCAAAACTCTGACAATCCACTTATCAATACTTTTCAATAGGATGATAAGTCCATAAAGTTGCTCCGATCGTAACATTCTCTTGTCACGTTAATATCAAACACCTCTGACAAAATCAACTTATCGACTCTCGTCAATAGAGCGATAGGTCCTCAAAATTGCTCCGATCGTAATACTTTCCACTTATCGACTCTCGTCAACAGAGCGATAGGTCCTCAAAGTTGCTCCGATTGCAACATTTTCCACTTATCGACTCTCGTCAACGAAACAATAGGTCCATAAAAATACTGTTAGGTTAACATCACACCTCTAACGGTCAAACCCCCTAATGAACTTGTTAATCCTTTTTCAACAAGAATAGCAAGTTGTCATTATAAAATCCCCAGTGGATTAAAGATTTTCTGAAATTATCCTAGTGATAATAAAGAAAATTTCTGAATTACACTCTAAGTGAAAATTCACGCCAAGTTAATACTACACTTCTGGCGCTTCCAACTTTCTTTCAGTGTTTCAAGTAACACAGGAAGAAACAGTGACAAACTCTACGTATTCAACATCGTAGCACCAAAAATCCATGTCTTTCACGCATGGGGAACTTTATCCCAAATCCTAAGTAGGGATAAGCCTACGCCTAATAAGCGTCGGTTAATCTTTTTCCGTAAAAATGACAAAGTCTATGTATTCAAAATTATAGCATCAAGTCTAAGAGGGTTCATTCTCTTAGCACAACGTTACATGTGGAACGGACTTAGATAATCCACATGCTAGCTCGACTCAAACGGTAGTCGATAAAGACTTATCAAATCCGTTGATGGCTGAGGGTTTGCCAAAAATCCTATGCATGTTTACAGGCCTATCAGCTTAATGGAGATGAGCCATGACGTGATGTTTGATAGCTTCTGCTCATGAGTAGCTTGTACCGTCACTACAGTTTCTATTTGAAGCTCATCATCACACAGGTCTTGCTTGGAAAATCCCTTCAACCAAGACTCCTTCGAAGCGGGTGCAAAAAACAACTCCTTATGACAATGAATCAAAAGCTCCAAGATCAGAGTTGAGATCCAAAGTATTTTGAAAATTCGTCCCAGTCAACCGCGAATTTTCGAAAACTTTGAAGGGGGTTCTGTAGGCTGTCTAAAAATCACAATAGATAGTTGATTCTCCATCAAACACCGATGATGGAAGTTACAATCTGACGACTTCCAGAATGTTACAATTTGAAGACTTTCACGTAGATCGATGAAGGTTACAATCTGACGACCTTCACAATAACTGATGAAAGCTCTAATCAACAACCTTCACAATTAACATTGGGAGTTATAATCTGACGACTCTCACATATCAAAGAGCTAAAGCAAAGATTACAAAATGACGATCTTTGCAACGCTCTGACAGAAAGAGACTACAAGTCGACGATCTCTTCAATCCAAGACGCAAGACTCATCCCTGGCAACGCTCTGACAGAAAGAGATTACAAGTCGACGATCTCTTCAATCCAAGACGCAAGACTCATCCCTGCATCCCAGAGGTGAAGCATAAGTGGTCTCATTCCAGAGTCAAAGCTATGCAAACACAGCTCCTAAATGCTGCAAACGCAGCTTCCATTCGCTGCCAAACGCAGCTCCTAAATGCTGCAAAACGCAGCTTCCAACCGCTGCCCAACGCAGCTTCCAACTGCTGCCAACGCAGCTTCCAACCGCTGCCCAACACAGCTTCCAACCGCTGCCAACGCAGCTTCCAAGCTGCCAAACGCAGCTTCTAACAGCTGCCAACGCAGGTTCCATTTGTTGCCCAACGCAACTTGCAACATTGTGTCCAAACGCAGATTTTATTCCAGAATGCAGGATTTTACGTTTGACTCGTTCAAATACGAGCTGAACGGTTTTAAAACCATTTCCCACGATCTGAGGGGATCACAACTCCACTCAGGAGTGATTTAAGGGGCGGTTACATCCCATTAGCCCCACTTAGGAGCGAATTAAGGAGGTGGTTACACCCCTTAATCCCCTATAAATAACTAAGAAATCAGCTTAGTAGGAGCTGGATCTTTCATCCTTCTTTTTTGCAGCAAAGAAGAGATCTTTGGGGGGGATCTTTCATCCGGCTCTGGGGCAGCAAAGAAGAGATCCTTGGCTTGTCTAACCAATTACGGTTAAGATCAATCAACTCATCAAGAGTTCTAAAACTTGCAATGCAAGTTCTCCACAGCGTCAAATCGTGAGGAGGAGATACCGTTCCAGTGAATCAAGACGTGCGAATCGTCAACGGAGAGCAAATTCGACGCGAGCATTCGAAGGAAGCACTCCATCGCCACCGTGAAGAACCCAGAATTAAACAAAGGGGAGAACCAAATCCATTCTCCTCTCTTTTGTAATCAGGAAATCCAATTGTAACTGAGATTAAATGAATACAAATCAATTTTCCTTCGTTTCTTTTACTGCAAAATTTTCCACAAACAGAACAATAATGTAAAAATTACATTATTTTTAGAATTCTCTTTCTTCTTATTTAAAATATGACTATTATATTATATTAGTTTAAGAACGAACTTACTTTTTGCTTGTTTACGATATCTATATTACACTAGTGTGCACCCCATGATTTTTATTGCTACAGTAATCCTATTTTTTAATTGTTATAGTATACTTTTAAAAATGATACTACGATATCTCACCTTTGATGCAGTGTTTTTTAAATAATGTTATAGTTTCCCGTTTATGCCACAGCAATTTTTATTTAAAAATGCTACAGTAATAATACTACATTAAATTAAGGTAGCATGAATAGTGATTCTTAGGTCCCATCACATTATTATAGGGGAATAGATTAAGGTTCACATACTTACTTCGAAAGAGTGGGGCAGCTCTTACTAACTAAACATTAAACGTGTGAATCTCTCTTGAAGACCAGTAAAATTGATATTATTATTTTGCAAAATAATAAGAAAATATATTATATATCCTGGAGAACAAAAATAACCCTAGATTAGGGAATAAAAAAGACGCTCAAATCCATACATACAAAAGCACTCAGCTAAGCTTCAAAACTCAGATCCATGCTATACGACCGTTTTATTTCATTACACCTTAAAACTAGGGTACAAATTACAAATATAGTATGAGGGGAAATATAAACCTAAATAATACATTTTTCATAATTAGATGCTACTTCGCAATGTATATAAGACTACATGTAGTTTCTTCTCCACTTCCTCTCCAGCCCAAAAGTACCTCCTCAGAATTATACATAATAATACAGTGATTAGTTTTCCTTGTACATTTTCCTCCCTACAAAGCCTGCATCAAGATGTTGCACCTGCTTCCTATAAAATTTTAGTAGGAAAAATAAATAGATAAAGTGATAAGTAAGTGAGCTCCACTGGGTTTTCAGTATTATCTCACATGCCGCCAATTTTGAGTCCATTCATCGTATGACTAAGCCCATTTTGATCGCCGATCTTGTGGAGCTCAGATTCGATGGTCTCAACAATTACAGTTCCCTCTGGATCAGGCTCTGGTACGCTGACGTGAAACGACCCTTGTTTGACTGGAACCATGAAGCCATTGTTTGAGGATTGACGCTTGATGTAGTTGTACAGTTGTTGGTGGAATGGGTGGTCTAAAGAGAAGCAGTCATGGACGTCAGGAGATGATGAGTAGCGAGATGAGCCAGAGCCTGAGCGTTTACAGAAGTGGGGGAGGGCAGAGTAATCCATTATCTACATGTGAAAGTAAACCAAATTTTAAGCTATCCACAGCACCATGTAATTAGGCATTCAAAATGGAGCAAGATGGTTCGATGACTTTGACGCGAAAAAAAATAATTCCCTGGTCATCTTGATATAACACTATACATCATCCGAAATGCCTAGTTAAAATGAATAGTGATTTCTGACCAACTATTTGTTCAAGTAGACAACTCTCAGTTCGCAGCAGG